TCGTTAGCACCTTCGCTCGCTCGCTCGTTTGTTGCGTGAGGGCAGGTTACGGGCATGCTGAACCCCAGCACCCCCTCCGGAGCATTCGATTTTGGGAGCTCGATGTGAGGGCCGTTCAACCCGATCGCCTGCCAATTGTGTCCCATCCACGACAAGGGGACATACCATGTCCACCGACACAGCACCTGTATTTCTCGTGTTTCTTGCTTCTTTTTTGACCACACAGGCGGCAACAAAAGCGTTACCTTCGTCACACCACCACCGTTCTTGTGCACTCGCTCGATCGTGCTCTGCTTCTCTGTTCGTTGGCGCCACTTACTTCTCGCCAGCACATTCCAAGCCTTGGAATGCGTAGTATGCGAAGAGGCAAAGCTTGCCCTCGAGATTAGGAAATGCTGGCAAACGGCCGAAGCAACACGCGGCCAATCAGGCGCTCCCGAGTGATCACAAACAAATACAACGACGAGAGACTGTTTATTCACTCATCATCACCGCTCTTCGTCTACCACTATTACCAACTCTCTCTCTCTTCTTCTTCTCTTCTCTTCTCACCTGCGGTCTCCCAGTACTCTTCTACACACTCGCTACGCGTGCTCTCGCCTCATCTTCCAGGCGTCTTCCTATCGTCTCTCTACACGACATAATGTCGTTCAGTTTCGGCGGTAGCACTGCCCCTGCTTCCACCTCTTCCACTGCGCCCCATCGACCACCACCGGCTCCCCGTGGAGCTCCAGTTCGTTGGCGTCTGTCTGACTGCAGCAGACGTCTGCTGCGGCGGCAAGGTTCCGATGCAGCCCAACTCCCCACCTCACTTCTACTTGTTACACACCTCACAGGCGTGCATGTTGAGTCGTATTGCGTGCGTGTGTACAGTTCTGCTACACGGGCTCTTTCGATGGCTACCTCTTTCGATGGCTGCCCTTTCGCAATCTCGTTCAACTACATATTGCTGGTGGCCGAAGCAACAGGATCACCCGGGCGCGTTCAGGTCCATCTGCCAAGCGCTGCGCCTCGACAAGGCAAGGGTCCAAACCTCGCTGGAGTACGTCCTGAGATTCTTGCTTCTTTTTTGACCACAAGGCGACAACAAAGACAACACTCAACATATTATCCGCACGGGTTGTAGTTGGTACGACATCAGGCAGGCGGGTCGTCGTGGGGCGGCTGCGGCGGGGCAGCGGCGGGGGCAGGGTGCGCAGGTGCGGAAGTAGGGTCCGGGGCAGGGGCAGGCGCAGCCTCAGCAGCGAGAGGTGAGAGGAGTCGGCGAGCGGCGAACCACAGGTGGTAGCCCGTGCCGAGGAGGCACATGACTGGGCTGGTCCGCAGGTGCGGACTGGCCACGGTCCGCTCACGGCGAGCC